AAATAAATAAATAAATAAATGTTGGACTGGATAAAGTATACTTCTTTGAACTGACAAAGTGGCTAAGACAACATCCTGAACGTCATTTTCTCAGATTACTATCTCAAAGTGAGAACTTTAGACTCCGCGCCTGTAGCTCAAGCGGGTAAAGCGCCAGCCACATACACTGAAGCTGGAGGGTTCGATTCCAGCCCAGGCCGGTCAAACAACAATGACAACTATAAAAAATAGCCGATTGGCGGGTGCCTGTACTCCCAGCTACTCGGGAGGTTGAGGCAAGAGAACCACCTAAGCCCAAGAGTTTGAGGTTGCTGTGAGCTGTGACGCTATGGCACTCTACCGAGGGTGACAAAGAAGTAACAACTTCAGAATTATTCTGGAATTATTGTGTCCCTGAACCTGTTTAATAATAATAGTATTTAACATAAAAATGTTTATACTCTGCTAAGCATTGTTCTAAACGCCTTACAAGTATGAAGTCATTTAATCATCTGAACCACTCGAGTGGGAGGTACTATTATCATCCCCCTTCTACAGATGATGAGGAAATTGAGGCACAGAGAAATCTCCCAAGGTCAAAAGTTATTCATAACTGTCAGACACCAGTGTGTGTATTAATTCAGCTTAATTCAATGCATATTTATTGAGCACCTAGTAAATGTAATTGTTAACAAGGCGGACAAAAACTGTTTACTTAAGTAAGTTAACTCGTAATGCAATAGTGCCCTGAGTGAATTGCCTGGGTGGGTTAGGCTCCTTTCAGTTTATGGGAAATGGAGAAAGATTACGTAGTTAAGGTCATGCATGGCGCAGGAATATCCGTTTGGGTAAACCTGGTTTGCCGAAGGTGAAGAAAAAAAGGCTTGGTTTTGAGGTCTGTGAAAAAACAGTGATCCCGTTGTTGAGGACCAAGATTACTTAGAAGAGGCATCTGATGCCGTATATTTAGCCTGGTGTAAGGGTGAGGAGGAAATACACTAGTCTGACGCTCATTAGGAGCAGGAAAGGAGAAAAGTGCCATTTGACGCCAGCAAAGGGTAACAACGCGCCTTTTCTGCCCTTCCCCCTTCTAGAGGATCAGTAAACAGTCTGATTGTGCCCACATTCCACCCACTACCCAAATTCTCTGGACTACAACTCAGACCCTTTGGATCTGCGCTGTTTTGGAGTACTGGACTTTCACATTCTGGCCCGTAAGCCTGAACGCCGTTAAGGCAAACGTCAGGGCAGGGAAAGGTGTATGCTTTGAATTCCCAACGTACTCGACCCTCGTCACAAACGTCTATGCGCTAAGATTCTGAAGTTACTGGCCGTCCATTTTATTTCATAAGACGACGCGACGCACCTGGCCGCGCAGCCTGAGATCCTGCTCTAATGCGTCCCATCCTGTTACCCTTTTAAGAGGCGGATCCCGCAGTGTCCTTTCCTCCCTCCCCGCCACCTCTACCCCCAGTCGGCGGGGCGGAGCTTCGCGCTGAAGCCCCAGAGCCCGCGGCGACGGCGGCAGTAGCGGGCAGGGCTGGAGCCGGGTGGCTGCGTCTGCTGCAGCCCGGTCGCTGACGCTACGTGCCTCTCGGCGGGCAGCTCTCCCTCCCCACCTGGGGCTCACCTGGTCGAGGCCCCAGTGCTGCCAAGCGCCAGCGGGGCGCCTGCCAAAGGCCGGAAGGAACCGCTGAGCTCGCTCGCCATGGGGCCGCCGCCTGGGGCCGGGGTCTCTGGCCGAAGTGGCTGCGCCTCTTCCCGACTGCTGGCGTGGTGCTTCCTGCTGGTACTAAGTCCGCAAGCCCCCGGCTCGCTGGGGGCCGAAGCAGTGTGGACCGCGTACCTCAACGTGTCCTGGCGCGTTCCGCACACCGGAGTGAACCGCACGGTGTGGGAGCTGAGCGAAGAGGGCGTGTACGGCCAGGACTCGCCGCTGGAGCCGGTGGCGGGGGTCCTGGTGCCGCCTGACGGGCCCGGGGCGCTCAACGCCTGTAACCCGCACACGAATTTCACGGTGCCCACGGTCTGGGGTAGCACGGTGCAAGTGTCTTGGTTGGCCCTCATCCAGCGCGGTGGGGGCTGCACCTTCGCAGACAAGATCCATCTAGCTTATGAGAGAGGGGCGTCCGGAGCCGTCATTTTCAACTTCCCGGGGACCCGCAATGAGGTCATTCCCATGTCTCACCCTGGTGAGTGCAGCTACTAAATTGCACCCCTCAAACCTCTGCCAAGGCCCGTTTCTCTTATTTTCCTCAGTGTCCTCCTCCCCCTATCCCCTTGCCCCGAAAGAAAATGAGTGTCATTTCTTCCCCCACCGAGCGGAGCAGGGTCCTCCCTGAGATTCACTGGGGGGCGGGGGGGGGGTTGGGCGGAAAAAATGCTTCAGAATTTGCGTTTTTGGTGGGAAAGGGTAAGACAAATGGGGGGACAGGCAGAGGCTGGCGAATCAAGGACTGTTTGGGATCTTCGCGTCAAGCAAGGGTGCCTCGCCTTGGCTTCAGTGGTAGTGGGCATGGGCTTTCATAGAACTCTGGAAATCCCTTCTTCACTCTGCTGTTTAACAACCAGGAGCCAGCAGCAGATTTCTCCCTCCTCTCCCCCTGTTTTTCTCTCCATGTTTCCTGGGTATCAGGTATTAGATTGTGTTACTGTGCCCTGTTAACCTCATTGCAATTTTGGTGGAAACTTTGCTTCACTTTTGAGTTCTTCTCTGCCCAGTGGTCTCAAGTCCCAAGTGACGGTTGGTATTGGTGTTTTTGTTTGCCTGTGAAAAATCTGATTTAGGTTATTAAGTTGCAAAACAGGTGACTGTCATTACTGTAAGAGAAGAGGTTTATGCATGAGGATTGCAAAGGCCTAGACTTTAGGGGAAAAAATAGTCCAGGTTATTCTTAAATGTGTGGAGCCAGCATGGGGTTACTATTTTCCCCCTTCAGTTATCTTTACAGAAACCTCCTGTTTGTGACTAGGTGTTCATAACTTGTGTATATAGTGATCCTAGGCTCCCAAGGACAAAGAATACAAATTGGAAAAAAAGAAATAGACACGCAATAGCAGGATATGGTAATTGTTAAGAGCAGGGCCTCAAGTCAGATCTTGACTCAAATTCCTGCTCCATTGCTTACTAGTCTGTGACCTTGGGCAACTTATTTGAAGTCTCTGAGTCTGGGTTCTCTCATCAGTCAAATGGGAATGAATAATAAGAAAACTTATCCACAGGTTTATCTTGAGGATAGAATTAAATGACACCTTAAAGAATTTGGCACAGTATAGTACATCATCTGTTCTCAGTAAGGGTTCGCTGATAGGATTAGCATTCTAGGAGTCACTGGAGAGATGAATCTGTTTGACTACTAGAGGTTTTCTGTTTTTCTTAAAATAGTATAACTAGTCTTGCCTAGAGAGCACTTGTATTGAGAGGCTGACTGGCATAATAGAAAGAGCACTGACCTGGAATTGAGATTTGAGTTCTCTTAGCTTCTTTGCCTCTACCAGCTTTGTAACATTGTACAAGTTATTCTTAAGTCAAAGGGTAGTATAGCAGTAGGGGGTGGAAGCCACGTCAGCATAAAGTACAGAGACAAATGTGAATTAGATGAACTAGCTAAGTCTAGCTCTCAAATGCTGTGATTCTTAGATTTTATATTCAGTAAATGAGGAACTGTATCTCTCTTGGTTGATGATGCATTGATTGGAATGAAATTACTTTTTTTTTTTTTTTTTTTTTTGAGACAGAGCCTCAAGCTGTCCCCC